AGTCAGACAACAAAGAAAGCAACAGCTATATCCAGCAAACTTGGATCAAGTAAGCCTAAAGAAACTGTTCCAACTCTTGCTCCCAAAACCCTTGCAGTAGCAGCAGCTTTTAATAAAGATGAAGACAGTGAACCAGAGGAAATGCCTCCAGAAGCACAGATGAGGATGAAGAATATTGGAAGGGATACACCAATATCAGCCAGACCGAGCACTTCCAATAAAGGGAAGCATGGGTTTTTTGATGACCAGAAGCTATGGGAACAAAATATAAAATTTCATCTTGGAAATGTCCGTGACCAAGACAATTAAATGATGTGTTTTGAATTAGGGTGTGGGGTGGGTGTAAAGTTAAAAGGAACAGTTTCTTTTTTTAAAGAAGAGTATAAGACTACCTTTGGAGCTGCTTTTGTTTTTGCTTTTTCATTTTTCTTTTTAAGATTGGGTGGTACACTAATAAATGACAGTCTGAAATTAGAGGTAATTTATGTTTTATATACAGATTTCAAGACATTTGCTAATTTTTTAGTTTTCATGTGATTAGTTTCCAAAGGTTACAGATAACAAAAAATCAGAAATGGTACCTTTTTAAGAATTGCATATTTTTTTTAGACACAACTATTAGCACATTAAGAGGGAGGCAAAAAGTTACTGTCTGCGTAAAACTGCAAGCAGTCACTCCTAAATTAACTCCCTCACTCCCAAAACTGGCTCCCAGAAACAGCCTTGGAGAAAAAGGGAGGGTGTCGTGTCAGAGAGAAAGCGTTTCTTGGCTACTGACTGAAAGTAAACCAGATGAAATTAAACAGCATTTTTTTCCCTCTAGGATTTGTTTTGTTTCAAGTGACCATATATTAGGTACTGCATTGCTGTCAGTGGACACAGATGCTTAGCTCTTCTACAGAAAGTAATTTTTAAAAATTTTTATGTGGGGGCTGGAGAGATGGCTCAGTGGTCTAAAGCACCTACTTAGAACAAGCTTGGCAAGGCATCAGGGACCGCGGTTCAATCCCCCAGCACCACATGCCAGCCAGCCCCGCCCCCTGGTGGGCTGAGCTGGCCACACACACACACACACCACTCTCTCTCTCTCTCTCTCTCTCTCTCTCTCTCTCTCTCTCTCTCTCTCTCTAATAAATAAAAATTAAAAAAAAATTTTTATGTGAAGTATCGAGTATTTGAAATAGCCCATTTCACCTTAATAGTCTTGTCTACCTTCATCAGTCTTCAAAGAACAGCCATTTGCTACCAAAGCAAATCAGTATTTTCAATGTGCTTCTATTAGTTTTTGCTTAGTAGCTAGTTCCTGTAAGCATTTCCACCAGAACTTGAGGCAAATCATAAAGAAGCTGTTTCTTTTAAAATACAGACCACCACCAAAAATTTAAATGTACTTACTGCTTAAGTATTTGGCTGGTTTTTATTTTTTAAAAGGTATAAATCCCCCCCAAAAAAATAACGTTGTATGAAGATAAAAAAGTAAGATGAATTTTCTATAACTTTGTCTATGCGTTTATGTTACTAAGTTGTTAAATCCAATTTGAATTGAATTCATTACAGAATTTATTGGAACAGTTAATGTGGTTTATTTTAATTGTACACATATTGACCAGTGAAGCATATTGTAGGTACTGAAAATGAAAGAAAATGCATCTTCGAACACATTTTATTGAATTGCTATTCACATATACTCTTAAATCTGTGTATTGTAGGCTGTTTGTTTTGTATTTTTGTATGTATATGGACTTTCTAATGTGACAGTTAAACACATCTTTAAAAGCATAGTCACAGGCAAAAGAAAAATGATACAATTATTTCCTTCAGAACTCCTACAATGTTAAATTTGGAGGCAGCTTCAGACTACTTTATTAGTAGTCGTTACTTGCTGATCTTTTTTAATAGGTAGTAACTCCAGAGAAGAAATCTATGCATATGTCTGATAAATTGTTCTTAGATTAAGCCAGAAGTAAAACAATGAAAATGTATATAGCACTATTAGTTCTTACATGATTTAATTATATCAAGACACATGAATTTAACTTTAACTTACTTTTATGTAGGCAAACTTAACTCACTTTTGTCCATTTTACTGTTTGTTAAAATAACATCCCTCTCCTCTTTTCCTGACCCAAATGAAATACTAATGTAAGGTCAAGATGAGGAGAGAGAAATGACTGAAATGAATGTCTTTACTGAAATAACCAATAAATTTTGTCAAACTCAAAAAAAAAAAAAGTTGCCTAAGAAGACACTTTAATCCACTGAGCTCTCTTGCTGGACCCTACAGCCAAAGTTCTTGCACACATCTTTGACACCTGAGAATTCTTCAAGAGAAGTTTTCAGAGGCAGAACTGTTGGGTCTGGGTCAAAGATCAATGTTCATCTGAATTTTTTGGTAAACATTGCCAAAATGCCTTGTGTCAAAGTGACGTTAGTTACACAACCACCAGCAAGTGAAAACCCAGTACCCCAATAGAGTCTCCTTTCTACTTCTATTATTAAAAATGAGTCTGAGAAGATTTGCTTTGATTTCAGAGCTAGTGCTTGTTATGAATTGAAAATTACCTAACTAGTCTAAGAAAGAAGCAAAGGCCAGGAGTGAAAATGTCAATTTGTATGTCACTGAAAAGCACCGCTAAGTAGGCCCCCCGCAGGGCACCGATGACCCCAGATGGGTGCGCTGGACCTGCTGAATGCCAGTCTGGTGAGGGAGCTGTGGAAGGAAACATGGCAGTAAACTCATGTGCCATTGAAAACTCACAATGTGCTGTTGAGGTATTTTCAGATGGAGAAAGATGAGAGCACAAAGAGGAGGCACTTGGCAGCCCGGCATTCATACAGATTCTTAGAACGTCTAATTTTAAGTAGATACTGTCAACTGTTCTTGTACCAAAGAAACATCCTGTTTCAATTTCTCAGCCACTTCCTTCAGGTTTCCATGAGTGATAAACAATTCTTTTCTCTTATTCTCTCCCTCTAAAAGTTGATAAAGCATTTGAGTAGAATAATCCTTAGTATCAGTGGTATTCCTTGGATTTGTCTGCTGAGAGACTGATGGGTCTTTTAACATTTCTAACCGCTGGGAAAGTATCATGTTTTTTTCACTAAGTTCTTGAGCCAAATTTACAAATTGATGGTATGTATCCCAATGCTTCCTCAATTCAATTTTGTATGATAACTGTACCAGTTCAAATGATGCCTTTTGCTTTATTAACTGGTTTAAAACTAACTCTTGTCTTGCAGTGTAATAATCTTGTTTAGCAATCTGCAGGTCAAAATCCCCCTTTAAGACTGGCATATTCAGTAACTGTGCATTCTCTTACCACAGCAGGCAAGCTTTTGTCCTTCATATGTGTGATTTGTTCTTCAAGTTTCAGAATCTCACTAGTCAAGCTAGAAATTTTGGCATCCAAATTTTCTTTACCAACAACAAGAACATTATTTCTGTCCACACTGAATAATGATTTGGATGTGCTTTGTGATGTTTTGTATCAAGGAGGAAATCAGCTTTTATTTAGCGATCAGGACATAACAGAGCAGTTTCATCAAGTAGAATCTCAGCTGAATAAACTAAATCTTCTCCTTACTGATATTCTTGCTGATGTGAAGACAAAAAGAAAAATTCTGGCAACCAATAAATTACATCAGATGGAAAGAGAATTATATGTACATTTTTTTAGAAATGGAGACTATCTGAAAGATATTGTGGAAAATCTAGAAAATCAATCAAAAATTAAGGCTGATGGTCTTAAAGACTGAAAATAACAAAAACCAAACCTGTATTAACATTTTACATTTTAATGTTTTATGTATTAGGAGAATATCTCTAATAAACACTACTATGTTTTTTAAAAATGCCTAATTTTAAACCTCAGTAACTAAAAAAACCCCAGTAACTTAGAAATAGGTGACTAATATTTTGCAATTTTCTGAAAGGTCTATTTGGGTTCTATGAAAAGTTGACTGCGTTGTCAAAGACAAAAACAAAAACAAAAAACAACTATAGCTGCTTTAATAGAGTCAAGATTTTTATTAAGATTTGAAAAGTGTTTTCAAACTATGTCTAAAGAATGGTGAGATACCGATTGGAAAGGCAGTGTATACAACACAGAAGGAGAAAGGACCTGATATATGATGACTTCCTTTTAAATTCTAGAGGACTACTGGGAGGTGGGCAGAGTGGTAAGCAGCCACAAACCAACCTTACCAAGATTCAGAACTGTAACATAGCGACTTGAGGGGAAAATGAAGGCGGTAGATCCCTTGGATGCAGGATGTGAAGGGAAAATTGGAACACAGAGAAAATGAAGAGACGGACCACAATGAAGAAAACAAGTGTGGGGAGCAGCTGAGCTGCACAGTGATGACATGAGTGGGCCTAGAGCAGGGCCAGCCCCAAGCATGCAGGGCTTCAAGGTGAGCCAGGTGGACAGGTTGTGAGGTAGAGGAGTTTCACTGTCATCAGCCTGCTGAGTGTAGAAATAAACACACTGCAGTCTGAGGAGATAGCTCAGTGGTTCAAGCTTCTGCCTGGAAAGCGCAAAGATGTGGGTCATGTCCTCAACATCTCATGCTATGCCGCCCTGTGTCAAGCTGACCACTGAAACTGGGGATGGTGGCACATGAATTTTAATCCCAGAGCTGGGAAGGCTGAGACAGGAGGATCACTATGAATCCAAGATGCATAGTGAGAACCTGTACCAAATAAGTAAATAAAGAAATAAAGAAAGATTTAATAAATTTTTAAAAAAGCACTGCAGTTATTGGGTGACTCTCCCACCAGAAGAGGGGACTCCATGTGACCTCAGTTGTCTGCATTTTGATCCTTGTCTTCAATTCTTCAACGATCCTCCCTCTGGAAGTTTTTCAAGAGCTGTCCTGGATGTGGACAAGAAGAGGCAATGTGTACTTTCTGCTGGCTCCCAGCTTGTGTGAAGAAAGAAAAGGCTAAATCCATGGGGACATAGTGAATGTGGTAACTCCAGAGGCCTCCAGGAAGAAACCCACACCATGGATTAGAGCAGTGGATGCTGAGAGCTTCAATACAACAGCTGGTGACTCCAGTCCAGGCAACTGCTGTGTCCCAAAGAGAAGGTACGTGGCCAGGTTCCATGTTAGGGAGGAGTCAACGGGACCCAGGACTCCGAGCTCCCAGTGATTGGCTTCATCTCAGGGTACCTACCCAGTGACTGACTGAGGGACATGTCAGGGAGCCAAGGCCAGGCCAGCTAAGGATACTCAGAGTGTTGTGGCCTGATTCACTCAGGCCCAAACCCCACAGCCTGGGGCCAGGATCAGCCAAACTTCACAGGATCTGAAAGCACCAGAACTGGCACCCGGCCCTAGTCCTTCTGCAGCTTGTTGGGATCATCCAGCACAAATCTCAGCTCTGACCACCTCCTTTGTCTACCAGTTACAGCACTGACATATCCTGAGGTGGATGGGCCACAACACTGGAGGCTTGACATCACAGAGAAACCAAAAAATTGGATATAAAGTTTCCTCCTTTTACTGGTAGTTGTCAAGTACTTTGTCTCAGCAATGAGAAAAGTGACTAAGACACCGGGTCATTTATCAACCTAGCAAGACTCTGGCTCCATAGCATGAGGGATGTGAGTTCAAGTAAACCGTAAACTGTATAATGAAACTGTCTCAAAAAGAGAAAAGAAAAAAAAAAAAAAAAAAGAATGGAAATCAGGGTTATAGATAGGCACTATGGTGGGCTGAGCCCCAGTCATCTTAGTTGTGGTTTGGGGAAAATCTTAGTTCTGTGAGAATTTAAGAACTGGACTCAAAACTGTCAACTCGATAGCAAATAGACAAATTTAAGTCTATAGGGCTGACCTGGTAAGAATTGTGATTTTGCTGTTTGTAGAAGGACACACCTGTACTCCCAACACTCAGGAGACTGAGGCAGGAAATATTATATTTCTTCTGTAGTAGAGGGGAAAATTTGCCTGATACGGTGATACATACCTGTAATCCCAGCATTTGTGGGGAGCTAAGGCAGGAGGTCATGAGTTTAAACTCAGCCTGGGCAACGCCTGAGTGAGACACTGCCTTAACATTAGAAAAAACGGGGCAGGGGAATGGCTCAGTAGAATAAGTACTTGCCTGGCAAGCGCAAGGGCATGAATTTAATCCCCGGTTCAAAAAAAAATTAGAAAAAAGTCTGGTGATGCAGTTTCATGTAAAGGCCTTGGGTTTGGCCCCCAGTAATACAGTAAATATCCATAAATAGTGAAAGGAAGGAAAGAAGGAAGGATGGAAGGAAGGAAGGAAGGAAGGAAGGAAGGAAGGAAGGAAGGAAGGAAGAAATTAATTTTAAAATGTTTTTTCTCATTGTAGTTGACTGAACTTCCAGACATAAAATACCCATTTTAGCATCAATATCATTAAGGAAATTGCTCTGTTTGGGAGCAGGCACGAGGCCCTGTCTCCTTCTTGTCTGAACCAAATGTGGCACCTGCTCAGCCTCTTCCCCCTTGGGGTGTCCCAGGGTGCCTCACCTGCTTCTTCACAACCCAAACCAACTCCAGTGGTTGGGAGGAATATGCTGCCTGTTATGCTCAGGGCCTCTCCTGTTACTTGGCTCTTCATTTCTACCACACTTCAAGAATCTTTTTTTTTTTTAA